AAATTGTATATATAGAAGGTAGAAAGAACAAAAGAAACGCCAATAGTGCAGTAAGTACTAATATATAAAATAGATGAAAAGAAGAAATGTACTTACATTCTTTAGAGCAAGACTTACTCTAGTTAAAACAGCATGGGTGGTATAATCCCCACCTAAGGATGTAGATGGTGTCAGGAATCAAGCCAAAAATAAATAGTACTATAAAAAGTAACTATTTATTAAAAAGGATATATTGACAATAAAGTGAATACAAAATAAAAGTCCCACTTGATGCGTTTCGCCCATCCAAAGGGCTTTTTCAAAAGTGTGGGGGATGTCCTCTTCATATCCTGTATATATAGGGTAGGCTTGATTCATAATTACTTCCTGATATGTCCTATTTTCAGTTTCGCGAGCCACACCGCAAGTGATGCAGTAGGTCAAAGTTCATATTATTATTATTATTATTATGATATTTATAGAGCGCCGTCAATTTCCGCAGCGCTTTACAATGGGTGGACGAACAGACATGTAGTTGTAACCAGACAAGTTAGACACACAGGAACAGAGGGGTTGAGGGCCCTGCTGAATGAGCTTACATGCTAGAGGGAGTGGGGTAAAATGACACAAAAAGGTAATTATAGTATTAGACTAATGACAGTTGCAGAGGTGGAATCAGTCAGGAGCTATTAACAGTTTAATTGATACGCTTTTATGAAGAAGTGGGTTTTAAACAATTTTTTGAAGGAGTGGAGACTGGGTGAGCATCTAATGGAGGAGGGAAGCGAGTTCCACAAGAACGGTGCAGCCCTCGAGAACTCTTGAAGGCGAGCATCAGAGGTGGGAGTACGGACAGAAGATAGACGTAAGTCTTCAGCAGATCATAAGGGCCTAGACAGGACATACTTGTGTATAAGGGAGGATAGATTGGTAGGAACAGCATTATGTAGAGATTTGAAAGCAAGAACCAGAATTTTAAATTGAGCTCTATATTTTATAGGAAGCCAGTGTAGGGATTGACGGAAGGGTGAGGCATGGGAGGTGCGTGCGGACAGGAAGAGGAGCCTCGCCGCCGTATTCATTATCGACTGTAACGGCGCTAGTTGGGAGCACGTAAGACCACTGAGAAGCGGATTACAGTAGTCAAGGCGAGAAAGGACAGTGGAATCGACCAACACCTTAGTCGAATCTGGCGTTAAGTAGGGGCGGATGCGCGTAATGTTTTTTAGATGGAAATGACAGGATTTGGCGATAGATTGAACATGAGGCTTGAAGGAGAGGTCGGAGTCAAAGAGAACACCTAGGCAGCGAGTCTGCGTGGTGGAGCTGATGGTAGCACCGTTGACTTGGAGGGAGACAGACACTTGAGGGAGGAAAGACCAGAATTTCAGTTTTGGTCAAGTTTAGTTTAAGGAAGTGGGCAGCCATCCAGTTAGAAACAGCAGAGAGGCAGTCAGAGACACTGGTCAAGAGGGACGGGGAGAGATCAGGAGAGGACAGGACATATGCATAAACATTCTTGTGTGCCACTGTGGAATGCATGTGTCACTTCCTGGTAATTATGGACTCATGGGGTATATGTGTGGGACACACGCAACGTTAAAAATGGCGTGCGTGCATGCGTTCCAAATATCGTACATATGTAGAGATCTATGTATGAAATAAAAAAATATGGCTGTAAAACTATTAAGTCAATACTTTGCCCAATACAAATATATAGCATAATGGCAAGCCATAAAAAAAATATAATCATTAAAGTTGATGAATACAAAAATATGTATTAATGATCAAAAGGTATATTTTTAGGATAAATATTATAAATTAATATGTAGATATTATAAACCTATAAGTAGAAATAAATAAATATATAGGAACAAATGTGGTATATATTGGGAAGAGAAACATAGCAAAAGAATGTTAACAAAAATGAGTATATATATATATATATATATATATATATATATATATAGTATATATAGATGTAAAAAAACAGATACAATTCTTATCTTGTAATACCTTTTTTATTGGACTAACATAATTTTTTAATGACAATCTTTCGGGAGACCTCCCTTTCTCAAGTCTGAAGCATTTCTAAGCAAGACGACACATAGATTTCAAAGTTGAGTTGTGATACAGAGGTTAAAGCGACATGAGTGCAGATAAGACACAGGTTTGTTAGAAAATAGACACCATCTTAGCAGAGGGTCATAAATATCTTGTTGAAGAGCAGAGTGAGGGGGGAGAGAGGGAAAAGAAAAACAAACAAGCAGACAGTGCACAGGATGGTACACTTTATACATGCACACACACACATATGTTGGCAAGCTAGTAAATAGGCAAATAAGTAAAAAGGGGGGATGGTGTATAGTTTTGTAAGAAGAGCATAATAAATAAAAACAGATAAAAATAGAAACCTAAAACGAATAAAAATTGTAATAGTGATGGTGGTCTATAGTGAATTAATTATTCTCACTTTCAATGGTCTTATAGTTCTGCCAATGCTCACTAAGAATGCAGCTTCACAATGAATATAAAATGGATGCTGTCCAGGAGGTGGGAGGGTTTGGGAGGGAGGGTCTGCTGCTGAGTGGCTGGAATGTGTCTGCTGACTGTGAGGTACAGGGTCAAAGTTTACCGCAGATGTTCGCCATCCGTGGCGAACCGTTCGGTGAACCGTTCGGCGAACCGTTCGGGACATCACTAGTTGTCAAGTTTATTTGACAATTGAGTGCTCCTCTAAATATTATTTTTGGTTTGTCTGGTGTAAGCTTGCCTAATATGTCGTCTTCTTTTAACAGATGCCAATGTTTATTAAAAATGCTTCTAAGTTGTTTTTCTTATTGTTAAAATCTATCACAATAGGAAATGTAAAATCTTGTTTATGATCTATTTTTGTTTTTTGTATTAGTTCTTTTCTATTTAGAGATAGAGTTTGTTTAATAGTATTTTCTACATTGGTGGTTTTATATACTTTCTGGATGGATCTATCTTTTAACTCTTGTGCCTGTTTTTTGAAAATTGGAGTTTCGGAGCAGTTCCTTCTTAATCTTAGCATTTGACTTTTTGGTATGCTCTCCAACCATGCTTTATTGTGACAACTATTGGTGTTGATATAATTATTTACATGCACCTTTAAAATGTGTTCTTGTGTGTATCTTTTTTATCTTTAATGTATATATCTAGATCTAAATAGGTAGTCTAATAGTAGTCTAATAGTAGTCAGTGCAGTGTAGGGGGAAGAATTGACAGTTTCAGTTCTGCTCAGAGAAGCTATTACTATAACTCACAGTGCAAATGTGGCAAGCCCTTTCCTGACCAAATTGGTATAAAAACAAACAATTGACAACTTAAAAGGCCTCTATTTTATAATAACATATAACATAATCTAAGTGACAGCTTATATATTTTATCAATGTGCATCATTGTATTATTTATATGGCTGTAATCTATTATTTTAGAATCATCCGTAAATGTATTCAATTTGCAAATAATTAGAAAGTACTTGACATATAATTGGAATTTAATCTATTTTTGTGAAATGTATTTAAAGTTCTAACAGAATAGTACATCAAGGAAAGCAGTACCCCTTAAGCATGCATTATGACATTTATTATACCATACCAGAGCTGAGTATAGAGAAATTAATACGTTCTTAAGCATACATTTGCACTGTAAAAAACCTTGGCATGCAAGAAATAATCTAAGACTGAATAAGCTCACAAGTGGCAAACTGTATAACCCCTCCCTAAGGCTATTGTGAACAAAATGTGATGGTAAAATGGGTACAGTCCAATTCCAAACAAGGATACAAAGTATAGAAAAAAGAGCTAGTTTTGTTCTTGCATTTTTTACTTGCTCTGTTATTATTTTATTTTTTTTATAAGTAGTTGTGCAGAGACACCCTGTTTAAAATCATAGTGTTTTATCCCTCCCCTTTTATGTAATTCCAGTCCTGTAGAGTGAGTTAGTGAGTGAGTTAGATCAATGAAAAATAATAGTGTAAGAGAGACTCCTTAAAGGGGAACTATAGTGCCAGTTGTTTTCCCCTAGAACACCCTATACTGCCCCCCTATCCTGCGGCTCTGGCTCAGGTTCCGCCTCCGCTCTTCCCCTGGTAGCGTTAGCCAGCGGGGCTGACCTAATGTGTAATGCATTCCTACGGGGATTCGGTTGAAGTTAGAAGTACTCATGCATACATCCTAAAGTCACCAAACGTCCCAGAAGTCCAGCTAGTTGCGGTCTGGTAGAGGTGGAGTTAACCCAAAAAGGTAATTGTTGCTGTTAATTAAAAACTGCAATAATTACTTTTCCTGGTTAAGGGGACTGGGACATTGCACCCAGACCACTTCAATGAGCTGAAGTGGTCTGTGTGCATATAATGTCCCTTTAAACACAGACAAAATCTTAGTAGCTTGCGTAGATGGCTTGGAGTTTTAATTCAGTTCAGACAAAACAATATCGAATAACCATTTCAGCCTTTCATATTCATTTTCTGAAAACTTCAACTTAGATGTCACCATCATATTGACTGCATCTTAGAGTATTCAAATTACCAGACATCAAATATTAAAGGTATTATAGTGAGAAGTTTATAAATTAACACAGATGGCAACATGGATGGGACAGTGTGAGGAGAGGATCATGAAAAAAAATTAAAATAAAATCTATCTCTATCTCTATATATATACTGTATAGAAAGGAGAACACTTGTAGGACTTATTTGCAAACTGTATATTGCGTTAATGTAAGCAGATTACAGCATAATGCATGCAGATCAATGTTTCAGTCTATTAAAATACTTTTTTTCACTATCCTGATGATTCATTTGATACATCAATATGGGAATCATCATTTTTATGTTGTTGTATATTAGGGTTTATGTTTTAGAACTGGGTTAGATAAACAGGCAACTAGAGATGTTGCGAGCCGTCCGCGAACATCTCGCGAACGGTTCGCCACGGTTCGCCACGAGCTGTTCGCGGCGAACTCCGGTCAGCTGACACGTCCCGGCCAATCTCCAGCAGACCCTCCCTCCCAGACTCTCCTACTTCCTGGACAGCATCCAACATGGATGCTGTCCAGGAAGTAGGAGGATCTGGGAGGGAGGGTCTGCTGGAGATTGGCCGGGACGTGTCAGCTGACCGGAGCGAACCGTTCGCGAGATGTCTCTACAGGCAACATCTCTACAGGTAACATGATTTATAACTAGCTACTACATTTCTTTCCTGGATACCACAGATGGACAGTGATGCTTACTGAGTCAGTGAAATTCTCCATTCTTGTCCCATCCTTCTATGTGCCAATGTCTTCTCTCCAATTAGAAATTATAACAGTGCCAAACTGTAACCATCACTGCTCAGTATACTATATCTACCAAAATGTCAGCATTATCAATTAAACCCAGTACCTGGTATGCAGAGACTGACCTTTCTAATATTTCAAATAATGATATATTACATTTAATGTAAGCTGTCAAAAAGAGGAAAACATACATATGTATTATTTGTTAATTAAAACGCATGTGGATTTAAGTAATTTATACATCTATTTTATGGACTAATTAATATAATTAATTATTATTTGATGACTTTTTCTTTTTTCATCAACACGAGAATTATAGTACAGGGGAATGTACATACAAGTTTGTATAAATAATACATATTGTAAAGTAAAATGTGAAGTAGTCGGGAACCTTAAGTAGCCATCATTTTTATTTTTAAGTGTATCACATAGAAACATAGATTGTGATGGCAGATGCGAATTTTAAGTTTAGGATATCCTTATGCCTATGACAGACACACACACTGACAGATACACTCACACATTTACACATCCTTGCACACACACTCCCAAATTAATTCCAGTGGGGATTATCTCTCTGGGGTCCAGTGGGGATCTTTTCCCTGGGATACAGTGGGGATCTTTCCCTGTGTTCTTTCAGTTCATCACTGCTCCCTTGGGCTCCATCTGTAGTGATACTGGGACTGGAGTGACATTATTGGACACGCAAGGGCACACAGAGGGCACATGTGGCAGCAGAGAGGAACTGGAAGAAAGTGCTCATTTGCCTCTGGTCACCATAGTTGTATTTCTAATGCTCTATAACAGGCTTCCCCAAACTCCGGCCCTCCAGATGTTGCTGAACTACAACTCCCATGATTCTCAGCCTATCTATTTCATTCATATAATCATGGTTGTTGTTCAGCAACATCTGGAGGGCCTGAGTTTGGGGAAGCCTGCTCTATAGTTTATTTAACTCTATGAGAATATCGTAAACTTACACAACAGTGTGACCAAAACAGTTTGTTAGTATGATAAGAACAGAGCCTTTTGCTCAATTTAATGCACATGGGAACCTTTTGCATGTTTCCTTGGTAATGATTCTTTCTTTAATTCTTAGTCTCTTACCTTATCTTTATGAATGTCCAATATCATCTTTTATTTCTCTGCTCAGTGTCACACATTGTAATAGATGCACTTCTTTACTGGGCATAAATACATTTATTGACAGAGCATTTTTTTTTCTCCTTTCAAATATTGACTAATTTCATGTTTAATATAAATGTTGTGCATATTATTAAATGAAAGTATTCTGTAAAGGAAGGGGTTAAGGAATGCGCTTCAATAGCTACTCTCTGGTATTTCTCTAGAACGTGTTTTCCCAGTGGAGTTAAACAAGAAATATATATTTCGGACCTGATTTAGTTTATTCTATTTATGGAAGATGCATTTCTGCATTTAAAAACATTAGACCATAGAATCCAACGTGTGTAAATACCACAGTTTTTATTATTCTTTAGGCACATGTTGTGTAACATTAATAGCTCTAGAACCTAATTTTCTCACAGCCTATACTATTTAATGATTTAATGATAAAGCAAAAAAATGCTCATCCAAATAGGATTATACAAACCATTTTTGAAATTCTTATTCACTATAATTGAAAAACTACTGAACTATTTCGTACTGTATAATGTGGTTAGGAATAAAAGCAGCAGACAATTACTCCATTCTCATTTTATAGTCAATAAGAACATTATAAGGAGAAAAAAAGAAAATCCATGCTGTTTAATCTCTTTTCAAGATTATTAAATGTGCAAAGTTTAAATTATATTTGTTACTTTAAAGTGTTGTACCCAATTGTGCCAGGGAATGCTCTGGAATCATGGCTTTTTTTTTGCAAGATTTTTAGTATATACATTTAACATATATGACCATGCTTTAAATACATGTTAACTAGCAAAATGTGCCCTTAAAGGGACCCTCAAAGTCCTTAAAGGGACACTCAAAATACTAAACTTTAATATAGGTTTCCCTTGCAGATAAACAGTGGAGAAACATGGAGAAAAAAATTATGTATGTGCAAAAGTAAAATATTAAAGCATAACAGTTAAATATTTTAATAAGAATGACAAGGTCCATTTAACTACCCCATCCCACAGCATATGTATATTAACCTCTCACTCCACACATAGTGTCGTGGAATCTGACAACTCTTATCATGGATTCCTAGAGACTGGCATACTACAAAATCCTCCATTCCTACATTTTAAGGTATTAGAGGAGAAGCAGGAGATATCTGCATGACCACATCGCCCATTTAGACATATTAACTCCAGTCAACCATTAGGTCCCCCTGGGTTGTAGGTTTTAATAGTAGGATTTTTGGAGACTCCAAGAAATTTCTTGTGCTCCTCAACAAATATTTGTTATGCTGGGAATGGAGAGGGAGACAATATTAACTGCCCTCTGGCCTAGAAGGTGTTTGACACAATCCACTGTATTTTGTCATGTATTTATGTAACTATTTTTCCTCAGTCTAAAAGTGACTTCTAATCGAGCTGCATTTGGAAGTCTGTGATTAAACAGCCACATAAAGTATAGACGGGGCTAGGTGGGGATGGTTTGCAAAGGCAGCAGACAAGAGACCTGCAGCTTTTGCAAGCTGTTTTTAGATATAGCCCTAATGAAAATATGCACAATTATAAGTACACATGTTTTTCATCGGGGCATATCTACTACACATTTTTTTACATTTTTTTTTCAATTTGGCCATTGGAGAATTCCTTAAACTAACAACCAGCAGTCTATACAATCTAATCTATTCAATCTTGCATTAGCAAGTTGGATATGTTCCTACTTTTACCTGACGAACATATGTTCCTACTTTTACCTGACCAGCAATGCAAGTCAGTGACAAGTTGTGAGATTACATATGAATGTCCTTTACTGAGTACAAAACTTGTAATTTGCAGCATAGGTGCACAGATGTAGATAGACATCTACTAAGACCTAAAAACATGGTGTGCTGGAAATTGTATAGGACTTAATTTGTATAGATTGATATTCCTGTCTTCTGTGCATTTTTGGAAAAAAACAATCCTCAAAACTCTTTTTACATATAAAACTCTCCTAACGACCTATAATCTTTGACTAATATATAGTGTTTGGACCTTACATTTTTTTTTTATAGATATGAATATGATTATGAATACCTTTTGTATTGTCCATTTTAATTGTATTTAACCTATTTATCCTTTTTTTTTTAGTTTGTTGCCCAGCCTAACTGTCAGCAGCTGCTTGCATCTCGCTGGTATGACGAATTTCCAGGCTGGAGGAGACGGCATTGGGCAGTGAAGATGGTGACATGTGTTATTATAGGACTCCTTTTCCCTGTCTTCTCTGGATGTTACCTACTGGCCCCTAAAAGCACACTTGGACTATTTATCAGGAAGCCTTTCATCAAATTCATATGCCACTCTGCTTCATACTTGACTTTCCTGTTCCTTCTTCTGCTTGCTTCACAATACAGTGTCAGGGATATGCCGCAAGGACCTACACCGACCTTTGTAGAGTGGATGATATTACCGTGGGTTTTGGGTAAATGCATTACTAAAAAAAATACAGTTCAAAAGGTTGAGTGTGTTAATTGTTTTTAATTTTTGGATTTGCGAATACTTCATCAAACATATATATGATGTGCATAAAACTCTCTAAACATCATAGATTTGTTTCTCTGGGCAGTTTTTGCAATATATTTGTCAATGTTTTGCTTTTCTTGCATACACATTAAGTGATGCCCATTCATAGATATACAAGTATTGTGGGTATCGCCTTGAAGTTAACCATCATATAGCAACTTTGAAATATTTTATATATATGGCTACCGATTTATTACACTGACTACATGTGTAAGAGTAGAATACTGATGTTATAGAGGATTCTGAATTCACAGAATCCTCAATAGAAAGAGCTATTTTCCCTAGTGACTTGTGATGGCTGAGGGCTTGACAAAACGTAGCTCTGCCAAGGCTTAACAAACGGTAGCTCCGTGTTGGAACATACATACACACAGACAATGCAGTTCATAAGTTTTATCTTCATTATATGTTCATCTTATTTTTTTGGATGGGAGGGGTTTGACAGAGTCGCTAGTATATATTTTGTGGGATACTGATAGAAGTAATGTCCTACCATTTGGGTAACAGAAAAAGTACTTATATAAGGAAAAACAGGAAGAGCTGTAAAAAAATTATATTTGCATATTTTGATTTTAATTTTTATTTTACTGCCCCTCCTTTTTCCCTGTACTGGTCACTTGTCACGTGATCTGTGAATAAAATAAACATTTAGTGATAGTTCCCAAGCCATCAAACATTTGTTTTCCCCCATCAATCATCTTTCTCTTTTTTTTGAGGTAGAATTCAGAAGCACAAAACTAACATGCTTGGCCATTGGTTAGTTCATGATGCGAGTACATTTCGGCTCAAATTATTGAAATTTGACTCATTATGCAAACGACCCGAATGTAAAACAATTTCATCTTGGCTGAAATTAATCCTTCAGTGTGCTGAGTATTCCAATTCATTTTTGCTCATTTTTCTATGGTTGATCTGTTGGAACGCTTCTAGACATTTTTAAATAGGACACGTGTTTACTAATTAGGGGGGGACCCAATGTCCTCCCTCCTGGCCCCCACCCCTGAGCGGTGGGTGGGGGCCCTAAAATACTAATTAGGGGGGACCTAATGTCCTCCCCCCTGGCCCCCACCCCTGAGCGGTAGGTGGGGGCCCTAAATAAAAAAATAACCCCCCCTCCCCCGGGTGACTAGGGGTCCCCAAACCCCTAGTAACCCCCTCCCCCACTGTTTAATAGACATGCCCCTACTCGCGGTATAGCAGTAGGGGCATACTTTACTAATACTTAGTATTAGTAAATTTGGCTGAAAGACCAATTCAGGTCTTTCAGCCTTTTAGTAGATAGCTCCCTAATACCGTGGGAATTAGGGAGTTATCTACTTATTCATTCCTGTCATTACATTGACAGGCTAAGTAACTTACATTTTATATGAATGTATGTTACTTGATTTGAGTGTTGCAAATGCTTACAGCTGAATCCTGGCTATGTTTGTATACTTTTTATTTAAAATTGTATACAGTGTAACATTCTTCTTCTTCCACTGGGTAAGAATATTAGTACTTAGGCAATACTGTGCTTCAGAACTTCGGCAATTCGGCACTTCGGAACTTCAGCAACTTCGGAACTTCAGCACTTCGGAAATTCTGTAATTTTGGAACTTTGGGACCTCGGTAATTCGGTACTTTGGCAATTCGGCACTTCGGCTATTCGGACCTTTGGAAGTACCCGAATGTCCGAATTGCCCGAAATTCTTCCGAATTCATATTCGGCCCGAAATGAATTGCACATGTCTAAAGGCTATCCTAGCTGTCAGATAAGGCCAGGGACTAATGAAAGCATTTAGAAAATTGGGCAGACTAGATGGGCCGAATGGTTCTTATCTGCCATCACATTCTATGTTTCTATATATATATTGATAAAAAAAAGAATGTGTCTATAGTCACTATGTGATCTTGTTGATCTAAGAAAATAAAATAAAGATTAATGAGACAAATCCATATTACTCTCATTTACATTTTAATTGTGAGTCTGTTTGATGAAAACAGATATGTCATGGGAGCTTTAGAAAGAAATCCGATAGAATTTTTTTACTGTCAATATGAATTCAACAATATAGAAGGAGATGCTTAAATGAAATTATATTTATGTTACCTTATGTCACTTTTAGGAAATTCAAATTTATGTAAAAGTTTTTTGTTTGTTTTTTGTCCATTTATTTTTCCTGGCAAAATGTTTGTCACTGGAGTAAGTGTTTAAAAGGATTAAACTGTTAATATTAAAAAGACAAACAAGGTTCCTTGATGAGGAAATGTATGTTTTTGCCAATCTT